ATATGTGGCAATTTATACATTAAACAAAATAATGTTAGTGCCATCTTGGTTGAAGCATTAGACTTCAACTTGTGACATTTTTCTGGAACAACTCATCAACGCATGAGAAGATATTTCACGCAATAAAATGAAAATTGAATATTTTTTTATTTGTGACCACTTTTCATAATCTGCGTACCTGTTTTTTATATCTGTTTATGTTTTGTCCTATGTCTTATATGCGGCTCCAAGAAATATGTATCATTGGCTTCAGAATTCCAAGTACTATACTAAATCTCATTAAACAGTTAGCGTTACATTTGGGAACCTCTTCTTGTCAGTGCCGAGGAGCCATCGAACACTCATTCAGGATTTACTGTATATTAATTCGTGTTTGAGTTAAATGATCATAAAGACAGTATTATTATTATTTTTTTGTCATCATTATTTTTTTTTTCGATTGTACGATCGTTAGTCATTCGTGTGCCGTATCTGTTGCAGGTCAATTAATCGGGATTATTTTACACCGGTCCATCGAAATATTCCCAGCTCGTCCTTTTCAATTTCTCGATTGCCATTGTTCCAACGGTGACACGGCCAGGATTACGATTCGGGATCGAACATCTCGTTGTTCTTGCTCCCCCGTAGCTACTACCCGGTCCCCCTCGCCCCTGTTTCTTTCGTTTCGCGGACGATTAGTGGACCTCCGGGCGGAATGACCTGACCCCCTTTGATTTTATTTCGAACGAAACCTAGGATCGACCGAGGACACTCGAATAAAATATTCCGCGAGAGTGCACGAGGTCGTGGAGTGACGTTAACGTGTATTTTAAAGAGTAGACAGATGGGGATGACTTATTAACGATGAACAATCGATGGTTCCAGCGTGGATCGGTGGGCTCGAATGTGAGTAATGCGCAGAAGGAATGGAGACGATTGTCAGTGACAAAACGCGCGAACGATCTTAACTGCGTGTCATTAATGTTAAGTGCGTTTGTCATCTGAGTTGTGCTGTGTGCGAAAGTAAGTGTAATAATTCGTCCATGGTAAGGGGGCGATAACAGCCCCTAAAGTTGAGGGATATAAATATATTTTTCGGAATGTCTCGGAAACTAGAGGGAATAGGAAAAAGTTTTTTGTTTTTTAATTTTGTGTTTTTGAATGGAGAATTTAGTTACATAAGAAAATTTAAGAACAAAGCATTTGTTTAAATAATATATTGAAAGTTGGTATGTTTTCTTCAATTTGTTTATGTGTAATGTTGTTTATGTAAATTCTGTCTGAACTGTGTTGCGCGTGAAAGTAAGTGTAATAAAATATTTTACAGTTTAACGTTTCGTGTGCATCCTGTAGAAGAGATCATAATGATTAGACAGCGAATTGTGAGGAATTTGTGGTGTACATTAATGTGCGCATTACGATAAAAAGAAAATATTAGATAACTATTAATGAATTTTTTATTTTATCTTTTCATGGGTATTATGTATATATTTAGTCTTTAGGATGTGTATAAATGCTGTAGAATATGAAATGAGAATTCGAATACAAAGAAATGTGGAGTACAATTAATTCTGGGGACTACAAGGTACTAAAGTAAAATAATTAGTACCTTTTGCAAATTTATGCTAGTACCGTATACATGTAGTGAAGTAATTCCCTAAAGAGCTATTCTGGACGAAATAAAATGGAAAACATTTTATCTCGTCCATATTCTTTTTTCTTTTAATTTCGCCATTTTGTTAGTGTATTGTGAGAATGTCCCATGGGATCGCACGGGAATACACGTTCCGTAACGTTACAGGTTAATTTGAAACAAATAAAATTAACGTTCTGTAATTAATTTGCGAAGCTATATTAATTTAACGGCAGAATTTTTCATTCTGTAATATTCGTTACATTCAATTACCAAACGTGTTATACAGATCGTCCACGTTCGTGTCAAGCATTATGAAAGATTTTAATTACCTGTAGCGCCGTTTGAAATACATACAAAATCAAATATGTACATGTTTCCTCTGCAACCAGATGATTATAAATGGAAATTTAGTAATACGTAAACAAACATCAATTGAAGTAGTTAATATCCGCTGATTCCGTTTACAGTACCCAAAGCTTAAATTACAAGCAAGGAAGTAATATCGATTTTTAATGTATTTGTATTAATATATGAAAATTATGAAATATATATTGCATCACTTTCAAATATACATATGTAGTACGCAGAATTTTCGTAGGCAATGTGATTTGTAAGATGATTCGTATTTAACTTATTTTGGCTAACACGAAAACATGTCGAACTTGTACACGCCAATTTTAGTGAAACTTATATTGGAGATAGTTCCTCAAAATATGTTTGGTATGTATAAGGAATAGATAAAAGTTGTTTGTTTTTAAATTGTGTGTTTAATCTTACAATAAATAAATGTATTACGTTACATGTATTATAGATTTTTATGTCAGTTTAAAAAAAACTTCGACTTGTTGGTTCCCCATACCAAAAAAAGCTCCGACTGTAATGGGTTAATTAATTTTCTTACTAATAATAATAAGAGAAGTATACTGCCCTACTTACTTAAAATGTCCAATCTAACAAATTATCGTTTTTCAAGTATTTTCGAAATATTTGGGGCCCCATGTGCTTTTTACTTTTTAATTAAAACTGGAATGCCCTGCGTGTTTTTTACTTTTTAATTAAAACTAGATTGCCCTACGTGCTTTTTTGGGATCTAGAAACAGCCTAATTTGTTTGTCTTAACTGGTTTTCACATGATTCTACTAGTTTATATTATTCTAGGTAACATCTACTAACTTAGATAGTCCTAAGTTATGACTGACGTTTATGCCTCAATTATTTATGTTAAAGATGCGTGCAAAAAACTAAAATAAATATGATTTGAACCGTTTCCTCCGTTACAATGGCCCACGATGAAGAACAACGTCACATAGAAAATGATAAAACCTCATTTTCCTCGGATGTCTGAATATATCAGTTAAGACAATTAAGCTAAGGAGGGCAGTGTACGTAATAAACTGTTTAATGTTCGAGTGATGCAGGGGAACAGATGTTCAAATAATAATCAAAGAAAACTATAAAAAGTGACAAAGCGATGGAGTTTAAAAAACGAAACCAGTGAAAGAAGCGTTCGGAGACGTATCGGTGAATCGATTAAAACGTTGTTTTATTCTGGAACGGTGCAATCACGTGATTACCTCGTTACGCGATGAAGCAAGAAATGGTTATCGAGTAATTATTCCTACTGGCGCTTCGAAGGGAAAACCGTGGCACGAATGAATGATTTAAAGGAGTTGCCCGCGGAACTTTGCGATCTAACGGGAACGTTAACGAGGCTTCGGCGTATTTCGTTTCCAACGTTTCCGCATTTGCATCGTCGGAAAAGTGGTTGCCTCATTTTTTTTTCTAGTGAAGGTGACTCTTCACGCGACCGAAGACCGACAAAGTTCCAATCGCGTCGCGTGAAAATCGCTCGATTACTCCGTGAAAAGTGAACGGGAGGGGCTCTTTGTTCGTTGGACAAACTCGAAATATCGCCATCGGCGACATCATTTAATCCTGGATCTTCCGGCTATCGGAGGACATCCAGTATTTATCCTCTCACAGGATATTAAAGTTGTCGGAACGTGCCTGAGTCACTATTCGATTCTATTTTGGATATGTTTAGTCGACTCATAATCCCATCACTATAAATTAAGTTAGGATATCTAAGAATGTCAAATAATAAACATTAGAGTCCACTGGATGTATAAACTCTACTGGAAGTATTTATATCCAATTGATGGGTATAAAACACCCAGTTTATGAAAATGGCGAAAAATTTGGATTTCCACTTTTTTTTTCTTAATTATTCTGTCATTAAGCTTAAGAAGTAATTATTACGTATATATGAATCGCAAGGAAAGACTATACAAAGTCACATGCAATTATTTCATTATACAAGAAAGAAATGTAAGAATGAACATTCAATTTGATATAAAATACTCACGTTATGCATCCTAGGGTTAATACCACAATTTTCGATCCCTTTTAATTTTTCCTTCACGCCATTTCAAACGGGGTCTAATGTACTTCGATGAAATTGCTCTGATAATAGATCGCTGGATTGAGAAATAGTGTTCCGATAACTGAGAGGCTCCACTATATCATTATGGTAGAAGTTCGAAGGATCTTCTTTCCATTTCGATGCGCACTGTAATAGAATCGAAGAGTAACACACCATGCAAAAATAAAACGAGAATGTAACTTCCTGTGGGAGCTTCGTTCTTTTGAGAAAACTAATTTTCGAAATAACTGGGTAACGCGAAAGTTTGGCTAACAAATCTGAGCTTTATGGGCCCTCCTCTGGCCTGTTCGTGACGTGTTTATACGCGAGAGCTACAAAAAAACAACATGCCCGGTCCATACATCATTATTCCTAGATTCTTTATACAAAACTTAACCGAAATTTACAGCAGGATTTCAATCAGAATTCAACGCGCGTAAGCATTGGTCAAATTTAAGATTCATTTTCTTAAGAACCAATCGATTTGTCGAAAAATTATATTCCATGTTTCGGAATTATTGTGTTTGCGGCATAATTATCGACTTTTTCGGTTATATCGATTACAGGACAATTTGTGTTTGTAGGGTGTCCCATTTTATAAAGGATTTTCCCAAAACCTGCAGGCTGTTCATGTAAGTGGGCTATAAATATTGCGGCACTAGGCGACGATGAAATACGAGGCGGGCGAAATGAGTTAAAAGGGGGTTGGCAAATGTCATGTGGATTTCGTAATGTCTGAAACCTCAAAGTCAGGTGGATAGACTTATGCTGCCTGATATATGGCCTCTTTATACCATTCGCTGTCGTAATTATGTGAAAGGTAGACGAGAATTTCTCCAATTTTACTGGATTCTGTTCACGCGTCGATAACCGACAACTGGGGACAGTCGTGATATAGTTTCAGAAACAGGTACGAACCGTGGGCAGTTCTTTTCATGAAAGTTCTTATCGTTTCTGTTACAGGGTGACAGTGCTGGGCGTTCTACTGGGGATTCTCAAATGGGATCTCAGCGTCACGTGCATTCTCCTTCTGTGGGAATACGTTGTGGGATACTTGGTGATTTTCGTCGTCTCCATGGTAGTGGAATTCTCTATCTGCTTCCTGGCTACCAGAGGGAGCATCCTGGACACTGCGGCGAGGGCGCCGATGCAGTACATCCTCTACATTCGACTTTGTAAGTGCAACCGATCTTTCCACTGAATACTTCCTTTTGAACTTGAAAATTGATCGATCGACTTAGGTGAATTGCATACATTTCATTCTTAACTACAGACAGTTGTCCGTACATCACCGCAGAGATGAATAAAACTGGCAACAAACAGTTCGCGACATTGTTAACCCTTTCATTCCCAGATTATTTCAAAATAACCAAAGAAATATTTTGTTTTATTTTTGTGCATATTACATTACATATAAATAATTAACAACAACATTTTAACATTTTGAAACCGTCTAATGCCGTTTTTCATTCGTGGCCATTTGACGTTCTTTTTACTTTTATCACAGTTATATATAATAATTCCCAAGATAATGTTATTATATATAATAAAACCCAATTTTTCTTACCTTTGATCAATAAACCCTCTTGAGATATTTGAAAGAAATTAGAGTTCTGTAAGTTTCTGTTGTATTTGTAACAATGCTTAATATCTGAATTCAGCAGTTTTAACTACTTTGGGAGTTCCAGCGTTAATAACCAACTCAACCTTATTTTCTTCCTTAACTTTATGGAAATTGTATAGGCCATTTAATGACTGTAAGTACGTTAATTGAAGGTAGTCAGATGTCTAGAGTTTCAAAAATTCTCCGCTAGGTTGTGATAGGGAAATATAAATTCAAACGAGTCTTCTGTGGTTAAGGGTTAAGCGTAATCATAATTATACAAATTTCTCTATCGCAGAGCTCGCCCTCGATTAAAAGTTAAAACAAGAAATTTATTTTTCATTATTAAAACGTGTTTATTTCACTCTGTGGTGTATGTTTATAGGATGTCTTATTACTTACGGACATCTAAATTATTTTCAACCCTCTTTGCAGAGAGGGTTAGCACTTATTTGGAAACAATCACTTAAATTAAAGGGAAATAGGGATACTAAGGATACACTAGCTACAAAGACAGGAAGTAGAGGCGTACTTTCTCGGTTCGCTACTAAAATCGATAAGATTTTTATCAGAATTCCCCTCCTTATAGACAGAGCCGACAACGTCGTCAATCCCGGAACCACTTCCCGTCCTTTCGTGGTTATCCGATATATTTATGGTATCGAAACCGGGAGGGTGAGCCGGTACAAAAGAGGAATTGAAGTTGAAAATAGGCGGCTGTGTCTGTGACTATGTATGTAGGTATAGTATCCACCTAATGTGAGCATTTTAAATATCTCACTTGTTTTTTTGACGATAAAAGAAAATGTGAAAGGAAAATATTATTTAATTGGAAGTAGCAAATACTGTGATAAATAAAAATTTCGACCTCGAGCACGAAAACTCCACAAATGTATGGGAGTAGATTTAAATAACAAAATAACTACGATGAAGGGATTAGTGCAGAAAATTAATTTTAACAAATGCTCAGTGTAATGTCCATCAACTTCGACACATGTTTGTATACGATAAATGATTTTTCATATTCAATGTAAAGATAGTGTAGGTCATTGGATTGGTCTTGATCACACCTATTACACCAAGATGTTAAATATATGTAGCCCTATTTAAAAAAACACACCCATGACCTTAAAATTTCCAAAAAAATATGACGTTGAGTAATTTTTTTTGCTTCTTCCAACCAAATATATATTTTCTTTTCACATTCTCTTTCTCGCTTCACAAACAAATGAAATAGCAAAGATGTTCACGTTAAGTGTGATACCCTGTATACCTACATAATCGAAAAAAACCAGACTGACAAAATCAGAGTTAATAAATCGTGTATTGGCCAATAACACACCGATTCTCATCACCATTCTCGGTTCTAACGAATTCCATTATAGGACTTGCTTTAACGGTTACGCTGATAATAATCAAAGATCACCGGGAGATTCCTGTTGGAACGTTAGTAATTACGTCGAAGGAATCAAAACTGATTCGTAGACGCGCGATCTGCCGGGGGGTTCGTTAACGAAACGCTTCGTTGGCGGCGACCGAGGGTGCCCCTTCCGACCCTTCCAATCCTCGGCGGGGCGAACCGGAGGGAATATTAATAAGGGCTGATCCTCTTTTGGCCTGAAGTCCTCGCTCGTAATAAACGACCACTCACCAGAGGGGGGAGAAAAGAATTTTGGACCACGAGGGTCGCAATTATTCCCCCGTAAGAAGCCTAGGGATGGAGAATGAATGCAACGGGGAACTGCGGCAGAAAAGTTTATTTCGTATTTTCGCTGGAACCGGAAGCCCACCAGTTAACATTCAACTAGAAATTTGTTCCCGAAGAATGGCCAACCGAGTTCTTTTTCAACGTCGAGAATAGTCTTCCACGGGCGCAAGGACATTCTTAAGATATCCCCATTACTTCAGCGAGCGAAAAGGATCGATCCACTTTTTGAATTCACCGCTGTCTGGCTTCCACGGAGAGTCTTCGAAGCAGAAGACGAACGTCCACGCTTCTCGCCTTCTTCTTTATTTTTTCCCCTCTACCCCATTTCCGTGCGCGAAGACGGCGTGAAATTTTCTGTCTTTCTGGCCATTAAGAGATGGGAAGTCGCATCGTCGTCGTATTCTCGGCTCCTTCCTTTTTCCTCCGTTCTGGTGTTCTGTTATCTCTTCAAGTGACCCTTTAATTGTCCATTCTCCTAATGCGCCCATTCGTGTGCGTCTTCTGGGAGGGAACTTCGATGTCTGCTCTTTCATTTGGTGTAATGGAACAACCGCACCGTGTTCCCATAAGTTATTCGGTAGTGGTACATATATGTAGGCGAAGTGGAGACGAATATACGAAGAAACTGGGTCACGTTCTGATTAATAAATTCCGTGTCTCATGGACGACCGATGACCTTTCCGTTTTGGCAATTTGCGATTTTCACCGTTAGTAACTCCGATTTCACAGGTATTAATTTTATCGTACAACTAGCTTTTTTCCCGCAGTTTCGCTCGCGTGGATTTCGGAATTTGACAAAATTAGTTTTTCAACAAAATTTTTAAATTGAATTGTAGAAAAAGGGAATAGAAAAGAAAAAATAGATGTGTATTATACATATTATTATATTTGCCCCCTGGAGACGAAATTTCAAAAAATTCTTAAAATTACTTCCCTGGCATTTGAATAAATAGATAGTATTTTAAAGTAAAAAGTAGTCTGATATCTCATCGAGACTAAGAGACAATAAATATTCCCAGAAAATACAATTTTATCTGTTCACCCCTTTAGGGGTTGAATTTCGAAAAATCCTTAGTGGATGTCTACGTCATAAAAACAATGTAATTTCAAAATTTCATGTTCCTAGGTTAAACGGTTAGAACTGAGCGTTGATGAGTTAGTCAGTCAATTAGAACTTCTTCTTTTATATGTATACACATATAGATACACTTCCTACGTTGTTCTTTTGTAATAAGGAAAATGGATATTTGTGTTCTTAAAAGCATCGTATTGAACAACTTGATGTAGTTATACGTCTTATAATAATCGTTAGTACATATATACTGCGGATGATACTATATGCAATAATTTACTACTAAGTGATCCTGGAAGTTCATGCCACAATGAATTTGATTATCAACTTTGAAAACACTTAGGAAACTATTCGGCCATCGCTACTTCTAATTACCGACCACTTGAAACTTCGTAATATTTCTTAGTGAGTTGAAAATCTGTCAATGTCGATGGTGTAAGAAACGATACGTAAGGGTATATTAATAAAAAATGACAAAAACTTTTCTTTTGAGAGCATAATTGTTTTATTAAGAATATAGGACAAGTTAACTTTAAACATAGTGTTTAATCGAATCGGCAGACCCTCCGCTTTAAAATGAACTTAAGATCATGATGTTGCGGCCATAAGCCTATTTCGAATAAACCTGATACATCGAAATGTTAATCAAATCGAAAAAGTAAAAGGTATGTGTCTTCAAGAGGAAAGATTGATCTCTCTATTACTTTTTTGTCGAACATCCTAGGATAATTATTTCACTATCTAGAAGCAATTAAAGTCAAAAGGATGATTTTTGCTTCAAAGTTGAAAAACTCTGCCAAAAAAAATCGTACAACAATCGACGAACACTCATTTTACACAGGAAGATACTTGCCTTCGACTAGTATAAATTCAACATGTCTAAAAAGTTTTGTTCATCCCATGTAACATTGCAAAGTAGACCGAAATTTTAACAAATTTTTCAAGTGTATTTTATATTAGTACAACTTTTCCAAGAAGCAGCATAGCTAAAATCTTGAAAAAGCAGCTGAAACTAAAGATTCTACAATTTGAAACGATTTTTTAATAATATCGATACGATAATTTTTCTTGGAGTTATGACAATTCGAACTTGGCCCTATTTTTCAGGTTCGTAGAGGTGATCTCTTAATTGCTCTGCGGACTGTATTTCATTCTCAAGCTTCAGAACATGTGTTACATACTGGTCTGTCACGTTACAACGATAGGAATTTAGTTAACAAATGTGAAACTAATCCAGAGGTGTCATCTGAGAGCCAAAAAAATCGTTCTTGTCAAAGTTTATTCATTATCACCCACTTAAACTGTATCGTTCTTTTTTACACCCGTACATTTTAAAATGCTCGCAATATGCCAGCACATCATGTGCCGGTGTTTCGTCCAAGAAATTGCTTCCAGCCGTCTGTTCGCCCGAAAGACACATCGCTGCGTATTAACGGTTCTGGAGCCGATCCAAACGCCGGGTACTGCTGTTCCCTGGAAGCTCTGTCTCTCTGTAGCGCAACCCAGGAAGATACTGGATGGAAATTCCGATCACGTACAGCTGATTGGTCGAATGCGTACGGAGTGCGCGCCAGGCCACCCGACGTTGCACCTCCGTGTACACTTGGATCCTTTGTTCGATTCGGTTGATCTGGTTTCGACAGACGCCGATTCGGGACTTCAGTCGAGACGGAAATATAGAAGACGAGAAAATGCTTCTGAATGTGACCGAGGTCGTTTCTTACGGAGAAATAAAATATATCCGTACGAGTCGAACTGGAACAACTCCGAAGCTAGAGACAATGGTGGGCGACTCTGTTAATCGAGCTCAGGGCCGACCACTTCGAGCTGCATCGACATCGGACGGACAGACTCGAATCGAACTAATCTAGGACTTAGAGATTCGAGTCGGGTCAAAATAGCATTGAGAAACTCGAATTATGCTATCTCTAGACTAATGGAGTTGAATAGAATTCATCTGAAATTATAAGACTAGAATCTGATACATTTAGTTTTCAGATTGAACTAGGTCCAGAACATCAATCCAGAACCCAATGACCCGAAGGACCTCCGGACAAAGGGGTCCAACTCAGATAAACTCAGAATCCAAGAACCTAAGCTATCTCTCTTGATCTGGGGGTCTAAGTTAGATTTGGATCTCTGTGTCAGGACTTTCTGGAGGACTCTTCTGGCTTGGGTCTCTGGAACCAGGAAGTCTTCTAATTAGGATCTCTGGGTCTTTTGTTTTATGTTTCTGGGTCCGGGACGTCCATTGGCTTGGATGCTTATGCCCAGGGATCATCTGGTATCAGTTCTGCCGTTTGCTGGCTAAGGGCTAAGGTCTTTATAGGGGTCTTTAGATAAGGGTCTTTGGCTTGGGTTCTGCATTCCGCTGTCTTGAGTCTTTGGGTCCTGCGGTCTGCTGGCTTGAGTCTTCAGGAGACTTATGGTTTGGGTCTCTCTTTGGTTTGATCCTCTGGTTTGAGCTCTTGCTTTATGGATTGGTTCAATTCAGATTCTTCGGTCCTGACTTAACCCATCTGAGTCTTTCGGGCCAAGGTTATTATCATTTGAGTCCTTAGTCACAAACTAATCTAATTTTGAGTCTCCTCTATTTTGTTCTTATACCTTCTTTTCGTTTATGTATATAGAATTTTCTACTTCTGCCAAAAATATTTGAAAATCATTGGTCCACGTTTATCCCATCAGGATAGGTTGTCCATGTATATTCGAAATCATTTCGAGGTACGCGATCGTGTTGGTGGGTAATTAGGTCAAACGCATTTTCCACGGCTCAGGCAGCGTCAAAAGCTGTCGAAGCTTTGTGACGTAGCTATTTCATGCTGGGCGCGCGAAGAAAGCACTGTCAATACCTTCAATCCTTATCCGGTGCGAAGTTATGGCATTTATGTCGACGCGGTTTCCTTTCAGCGAAAAAATGCCAAGCATCCCCGACAAAAAAGCGTTTATCCTAGGAAACGCTTGACCCAAATATTTTCCACCCTTCCCTTCCGATGTAATCTGATCGATAAATATTTCTTAAACCTGTTAATGGTTTTACGTCGTCTTACCTTGTTTTCATAACGTGATAACGTAATTACAGAACAGATTTAGATCTACCTTCTTTAAGATAAAGTATGGTTTACTTTCTTCTTCAGGCAAGAAAAAGAAAGTTGAAAATTACGCCCTTGGAAGTTTAATCTTGGCACTTTGTCATTTCTTCAGAACTATCAATACACAAGCAAAAAATACAGTTCTATTTATTCGTTCGAGTAAAAAGACTTATTTCCTTTCTGCTTCTTTTTTCATCTTTATCAAGTGAAATATTCGAAAGTTATGGAGCTTGCGGTGTATTCACATACTGCGACTACGTTTTGTAATTATTTATATTCATCCCGAAACGGATCAAAGCAAACTATTTCCGCGCGCAGCGTTCGCCTTGATAAACATAAAATTGCGGATCGAAGACATAAAATGTTTAAAGCGGGTTTCGGACCAGGATAAAAGCTACAGATTCTCAAACATTTGCAACGCTTTTATAAAAAAAAATGAAAAAAATAAACAGAGGAAGAGATACAGGTTTAAAGAGTTGAAATTATTGGAGAGGAATTATGTAATTCGTAGAAAAAAATTGCAGCTATACTTCAGAGTTGTATGTATAATACGCGAAAAAGGAATGTGGATTTGTACGTAGATTTATAAACGGTATATTTTATCTACAATTATCATATACGGTGTTCAAAAATTACAACAAATTTTTCATACAATTCTGATTTTTTAATTCTACATTTTTAATGTATTATATTTCGATATTTATACACATTCTTCTGAAATTACTTTTCATTCAAATAGCGCTTAGAGTTAAAGTTCAACTTTTGGTAACAAGTAAATAATATAAAAAGTTTATGAATACCTACTTTTTTTATAAATAATTCCTTTATATTGGAATCACGTTTTAGATGCATGTACTTCTCTAATTCAATTAACGCTTCGCTCAAGCTATTGATTTCTTTCGAAAAAATGGGGGACTATATTTTATGAGTCACCCCTGTATGAATAAGTCGTTACAGACAGAACTTTATTTTCAGTTATGCTGTTAGTGGAAACGGGATGGCTGTGCGCAGGTGTAACGTGGCTGACACACTACTACCAAACCTGTCCGGTCGACCAAGTCAGGGATGTAATGTTAGGTAAGAGGAACTTTTCTTGGAAGCTTGCTCGTCCCCCACATATATTTTTCCTCTTGTGCGACGTCGAACGGGAACGATTTACGGGGACAAGAGAATCTGTCCAATTTTAATCATCCTCCTCGATCACTGAAAAACTCTACATTTTTTTTCATTATAGAACACTATATCTACGAACGGAACCTTCTTAAAGCAATATTCTCATTGACAAGTCGAAAAAATGTGTTTCTCGGAAATTTTTCGTAAACAAAATGTTAAAAGCAACGAATATAGATTTTAACATGAAATTGTAGGATATATTTACCACATTTTAAAATTTGGCTGGTGAAAAATATAATACAGTCTATATATAAATAATTTTCATCGAATTTCAAGAATTTCCAATTTTGAAATAATGATAAATATTATTCATACTGTTAGTAGACTGCGGGTACTTACGTAAATCGCACTCTTGGAAATTAATTATAGGAATATAAGTTAGGCAAAATTGATTTCCGTTTGTTACGAGTGTTATTAAACTGAAAAATGAAACTAGAAACTTAATTAAAGTCTATTAAAGTTTCAGCACTACAATATGTTACAACCTCACGTAAGCAATAAATTCATAAAATCCACAGTTTAATCATTCTCCTCTTTTTACGCCACTATTACTTTTATATACTTCTATTACTTTTATGTACTACTATTCCTTTCATATACTACTAATTCAGTGGTGGGACTCAGTCGGGTCGCACCAGTTGGGTAAAACCATTTCCTAAAAGTTCTGTAGTTTCAACGAACCGCTTGTTGAAATGGTAATCACCGGTGGTAAACTTTTCATTATAAGTTTGTTCTTTTCATTTTTGCAGTTAACGCTGAGGTTGCGCATCAGTTGTTGAATTATTTGAATCCCACCACTGCTACTATTACTTTCACTTAGATAAAACAAAAAACAAACGAATAGAAAAATCCTATATCGGTTAAATTGTCCAAAGGATGAAAAGCTCAATGTTATGTGAACTCATGTGGGGAGGGGGGTGGGTAAAGAGGGAAGCGGCTGCTGCCTTCAATCAGGACGATTCGATTCTAGTCGAGTTTGCACACCGCAGGTTTAGTGGTATCGAATTGGTGCGTGCTGGCGTCTGTGATGGTGACCGTATGGTGTACGTACGACGCCGCCGGCAGATCGTGGGTGAAAATGAAGAAATATCAGCGCAGCATGAGAGAGGCGGAATCAAGATGCGGGAAATTGCATTACAACCGAAGCGGCAGCAGAAACAGAAACTGGCGGCAAAGGTAACAGTCCGGGGTATTCCTTCTTTTGCTCCCTTTCTCACTTCAGCTGGCAGACTTATTGCCTTCCACTTCTACTGAGACTTTTACTCTCGACTCGTTCCCTTGTTGTGTCACTTATCGCGACGCTTTTGTTACCATTTTCCCTTTGAGTTTGAATCACAGTTGCGCTTTAAATAGCAATTAATTTTGTAAACGACACGATGGAAAAATTAATTTTCGGAAATTCTAGCGCATTGTTGTATAATTTTATTGTATTGATGACCTCTTTGTTGACGTTGGTAATATTAATATGGTAATTAATGTAATTTTTAGAAATTCTAGTGCATTGTTGTATAATTTCATTTTATTGATTTCTTCGTTGCTAAATTGATAATATTATATTAACATGGGAATGAAAATAATTTTTGCATAATGCTCGAAATGGAATTTTAGAGAAAGTATGTGATAGAGTACGAGATAAGAAAACTAAATTTCTCTTGATCAAAGGAAAAAAGAACTTTCGAAATCACAATCCTAAAAATTTCTATCTCGTTTCCGTATCTCAAACAGGAATCCACCGTGTATAATCCAATTACTTCGCATTCCCTTTTTTTAATACATCTCATCCATATCGAGTATTGCAGTAAAGGATTCCTGAGAATTGGATAAGAAGTTCCTGGTGAGAGTTTCTACTTCATCCCTACCACTGGGGGAGGGGGAGGGGAGGAGCATGAAACCTGTCAAGCGTATACTATGTTACCCCCACTCTCCTCTCTTTTGATCAAAAAGTAAATTTGTAAGGTGTTGAAACGATTCGCGGTGCACCGTGAAAGTTTTGAAGCAGTTCGAGTATCAAAGTCATGCGAACTTTTCCTCTGGAAAACCTTTTTGGGGTTGATACTTATATATATGGAAAGTACTTTTTGTGTAGAGCTTAACGGTACCAATTTTAAGTTTAGAAATTGTTTCGTGGAAAAGTTATGAGGCGAAAAAGGTTGCGAAATTTGAATATATTTTCTAACCCTTATTGTGGTTGTTGTTGCATACGCACTGTTACGGTGGTTGTTGCATATGCATAATGGGTTATGGGACGGATGGGAGTAGAGTTTATCTTTCACGTGTAAATTTGTAAACATAGTGGTTTGAGTTGGTTAGACTCGAGTTACAGGTCTGTGTTTGTATAATAAATACTATTACCCGTGTTGTTTTGTGTCTTTTGTTATGAAAGCATTATACTTATCTGAGTTGGTTAAAGCTAGTTAAAAAAAAACAAAAAAAATACAGTTTAAAGCATTATATGTATAGATTTGAGTTGAGTGAGTTACATTAAAGGTTAGAAAATACGTGAAAATTTCGGAGTCTTTTTTCCTAATAACTATTCAATGGATAGATTCTTAAACTCAAAATTGATATTTTTGCGTGTTATTCGTTACGTATTTTCGATTAATATAAATTTATAGTAAAAGAAAGGTTTGCCAGAGGAAAAGTTCACCCTCAATGGAGCCTTTACAGTAACACCATTGTTTCCGAAGAAACGTCCGAAAAACAAACGTTCCATTCCTCTTCCAGAAAGGTGATACGCGCGTACCAGGATAGCTGGGACAACAGGTGCAGGCTATTGTTTTGCTGCATGGGCAATTCCGACAGAAGCCGCGTAAGTGTCGCGCGGAAAACGACGGGAAACGTGTTCCCGTCGACCATCAGGCCGTGTCACGTTCCTACCTTCGTGTTCCATGAATAATTTTGTTTCTCGCAGAACTCGTTCGCGGACATCGCGAGGTTGTTGAGCGATTTCTTCCGTGACCTTGACGTGGTCCCGTCGGACGTTGTCGCCGGTCTGGTGTTGCTGAGGAAGTTCCAGAAGATCGAACGGGAATTGATCGTGAAACAACGGAAAAATGACACGTACGAATTTTTGTCCGGTGTTCCGGTCACTCCACGGACGAAATTCTTGTCCTTGACCGAGGATGGTGATCTGGGCCACTTCCAGTCGGCCATACATTACATGCACTTCGCCCTAGCCGCCTATGGCTGGCCGATGTTCCTCGTTAATCACTCGACCGGCCTCTGTCAGCTGTGCGCCAGGTAACGTCCAACGCGTGTTACGCTGCTTGTCAACGGCGACACCACGTTTCCATTGATTCCCCAGTCGATGGTTTCGCCACGCCGTTCACCGATAAAACAATCGACTATTCCGGTGTTTAATTACAGCAATTGTTATACACGCTGTTCAAAAGAAGCATTCAATATTTATATGGTACACAGAACATGTTTTTATTGAGTAAAAAAGCTTTAGTAAACCAGGCTAAAAATCCGCAGTCTATTCGTGACAGAAGATTTTATCGGCGATCAGTCAGTTTTCATCAATCTATTTATTATTACACAGTTACAAAGTATCATGATGAAAATGTCAGCGTATTACTCTAACGAAGAAAGTAAAAATGATGAAGAAAAGTAAAGTGTAGCCAGTAGTAAGTCAATTATGACACTAACATACAAAACTGATTATATCTCAGAAACGGTTGACCTTTCTGACTTATATTTACTTAGGCTTTTTCACTCAGCATTGTGTGTCCTATGTAGTATATAAATATTGAATAGTTTTTTTTAATACCCTGTATTTTCGATGCAATTACGCCGCACAGTGGTCGATTATCCAGAAAAGTGAGACCAAAGTCAGTATTACTTGAAAACTTACTTTGTTGGTAAGTGATAGAATTAAACACACTTACCTCTTAATCATCAAGGTTAGATGTATGATTCCTGTCAAGGTAATGACTTAACGTCGTCATTGAGCATGACAGTTTTTCTTTTTGATAAAAATTCCAATGAGGCCTATTATTACAGGTTCCGATGTAATACAAAGCTTATGAAACAGGTTTTCCAAGTTTTATTGAAGAGATGACACTGTGCAGGTGTGCATCTAAGAAACACTTAGCTTCCTTCAGCTAATTTATGACTTTCAGTCTATAGAACTGAGTAAATCGCAAAAATCCGAAGCTAGTTTTAGATTTTGCAATTGCACTAATGAGTATTCTAGTATATATGTACAACGGGTAACAATTCATTCCAACACATTCCAAAGAAGTTACATACCAGCATTCGTGTTACAGGCTATATCACAAATTGCACCTGTTATCTAAATAATTCGTCGATTGTTATCGTATTATTGTCATTTAAAGCTAGATTTTCAGTTTTTTTATACAAGTTGGAACATATTCATTTTGATGGAATAGAAAAATGATTATTATGGCTCCTATCCTGAGATAGTTTGGCCACCACTGCTGTACAGTGTAGAGGCAGCTTCACCCTGTGTGCAGCGGGTACATCGAACCCACGATCTTGAAGGTGAACATCCGAAACGCCCGGAATGATCGGCCGCGAATGAATTTCACCGGGTGTCGAGGGGAAAATTGTTCCCATGATAATCACAACAGTGACGGAATTTTGTTTGTCGCAGATTACGATGCGGCTGTTTCCCGTGCGGCGGCCACGAGGACGAGGCGACCGTTGTGGAGGACAATTGTTGCCAGTGCAATTACGCCGCGCTACGAAAGACGGTCGACGTCGCCGAAGTGGAAGTCGTTTACGCGACTTTTCATGTCGACGTCGGTGAGACGCCGTTCTTCGTCGCGCTCGATTACACGAAGAAAAAGGTTTCACCGCGTTCTATTTTATCGATTCGCATGCCATACTGACACGGGTCTCGCGGTAGTCCATAGGTTCCCAAAGTGGGCGCTACGGGTGGGAAATTTGAATATTTTTTGGATAGGGGAGGGGGCGCAATTAGAAAATCATTGACAGTATTCACCTCATCGACCTACAGCTTTACCTATGTGCCTTGTTTAATTTGAAGCAGATATTAATGTTAGACTTTTTCAAAACATGGTTTACTATTATGCTAGGTGGAGGGGGCATCGAGATATTTGAGGCGTTAAGGTGGGGCGTGATCCAAAAAAAGTAGGACACTGTTATAGACCCATAGGTTCCCAAAGTGAACGCTACTGTTCACCGATGGACGCTGAAGAGATCTGCGGTCGTTTGCTAGTTATTTCATTTTCTTTATATTCAATCCAATTTTTTAAGATTCAAAGATTACACGTATAGAACTACACTTGGAAATTTTTATAATGGTTTACCTAATAGGGTGGACAGAAACAACTTTGAAAAGGGGGCGATGAGCCACAAAAGTTTGGGAAGACACTCGCGATTGAAAAGAAAATCCGAACCCACGGTGTCCTGGAGAGAGCTTCCTTCGCGTGTGTCGTAACACACCGCGATTCGGTTAATTACATTCGAATTTGCCGCCACGGCCCGAGGGATTAAAGCAATCCTCTCGTATCGGCCGTGTGCAGTTCAGGCGTATCGGGTTTAATTGCAAACTAAACGGATCTCGTTAAGCCCGCCGGTTTATGAATTTTTCATTTGAGACTGAACTGGATGGGTGTCGCAGGAAAATTGCTCGCGGCGTTTCGGAATTCGAGGCTATCCGCATGACTATTTTCACTTCAGTGTTGACTGAACTGGCTTCATAAGCGAAGTGACAGAAGTCACCCAATGACGTGTTCCAATGATTGATTTGAATTACTCCTACGGTATTTAGTTTCTATTGTACCAGTTTATAACATGTATATTGCCAATAATATTAGATCGATGAGAAATAAATGGCCCCTCGTATCTATTAGTTTTGGAAAATCTGAATAATTTAGCGATTGGAAATTGTTTTGTGTCACACAGCTTAAATGGAAGGACCCCAATTGTCCGACTTCCATTTCAACCTTACGATGCATGAATCTGGTGTTCATCAGCAATACTATCTTAAGCTAGGATATCTAAGAATGTCATATAATAAACATTAGTCTCTGTGAAATGCAACGAAGGACAAAACTTTCGTCAGATGCAACGAGTTTTCTAGTTTCTTTAGGACCCGATAAGATACCTAAAAGAAGAAAGAAATTCCTACTTTTGTTTTTGTCTTCATAAACAACCTTCCAAAATGTGATTTTGCTTAAACATCCGCAGTCTAGTGATAAATATTAGAATTTATCGAATTCACACGAACCACAGCAAGTAAATAATATTCCGATCGACCTAAGACATCTCAAATAATATTAAAAGATATCAGACGCGAAATTACGATCGGCCATTTGTTTCTCCCACAATCATATCTGATTAAATTTCACATTTGCACTAAACACCCGTACATCTCGCAGTTCCTAACAGAGTTCTCCCTGCGTACACGTGAAACCGAGTGGCTCGGAGAAAATTAACCCCCCCTGTCTAATAATGCACTCTCTAACGATCGCTTTCATTCCGAACTGGGGCGAAAGCATAAGTCCCCTCGGAAAGGTTAATTACTGATCCCGTGTTCCCATCTTTTTTCTTTTTCCTTAAGGTTGTCGTGAGCATACGCGGAACGCTCAGCATGAAGGACGTGCTGACGGATCTGAACGCGGAGGGTGAAGTGTTGCCGTTGTCGCCGCCGCGGGAGGATTGGCTGGCCCACAAGGGAATGGTCCAGGCGGCCGAATATATCCGTAAAAAGCTGCTCGAGGAAGGAATTATATCCCGCGCCCTCGCCAAGGTATAACGTCCACCTCGTTCCCCGTTTTAAATGCAAATCGCACTCGACCCGTCGTACATCGTCGCCCCGTTAAACAGAATAATTACCCCTTATCACTGTGCTCGTTACCCATTTTGAGTCACGAACAGGAGAGGGCAGCCACGTCTCGAGGAACGAAGCGCCGTCGACCGGGTGAGATCGCGTTCAGAGCTACTTAAATCGTCGTATAAAGTCGACATTAAAGTTTATCGGGAAAATTTGCGAGTTGTTTCATATTTTACGATTCTTATTACGTCCGACGTACGGCGACCTAAATACATGCGACGGGATGTCTGTCGATGAGAGGAACTTGTCTACTCTCGGAACGTCTGTCCGGACTATGTTGGCTTTCACAGTCACTGAAATGAAATAAAAATGTGGAGTAGCACAACTTTTATTACTGTTATTAAGATAAAGAAAGTAAGAAACAGTTAATTCGGGTGAAATAATGTTAAATAAAAAATTACAGGGAAATAACTCTATTTTAATTCATAAACCTAAAAGCAATATTAAATTTAATAAAGATATATATTGATAAAAATATTTAATATTGAAGAGTATACATATAGAAACGGTAAAGTATAATATTTTGTTATTTTTATTATTAGAAGTTGGATTTATTAATGTAGTAAATGAGAATGATGAAATTTCTATTAGTATTCATAAAATAAGATAGTTATTGGTAAATAAAGACATTAATGTTGTTAATAAAATAATAATTACTAATATGATATTAAAATTTTTAATTTTATAGGGTTTGTTAAATAAACAAATATAATATAGTAAAAGAAAAATAATTTTCATTAATAATACCTCAAACTATTTCTTTAATCAGACATATTACTATTTATACATACATACAAAAGAATGTATCCACACTTAGGTTATAAGCCTAAAAACTTTATTACTTTATTTATATCAAAATTGAATTGCAGATCAAACGATGATCAATTGGCAGTGTTAAATCATCTAATTTGGTATTCAAAATTGAGATGTAATTATAATTATATTCACGTCCCTTGAACTTACATGTCGTCCGAGTTCTTATTTTCGTCTGGTTCTTTATATTGATCGATACTTGAGCTTGGGTGTTTCTTTTATGCGGTTATAGTTGGCGAAGGTAATATGATGAAGTTGTAAAGATAACTCTTTAAAGACCACGAGGTATTAATAGATCGAGACTTAACCATTAGATGGCGTTGTAGGGTTGTAAAGATTCCACTTATAAGACTAATACCTATTACGTGGCTATACTTGCAAGTACTCTTGACATTTCATGTGTTTCTAAGACAATTGCACTGGGAAAGGTATGAAAAGTGGTCACGGTCTATCTATGTTCGTTGCAATTGTAGATTATGCCACGAGTATTCTAGTCATTTAGTGTTGTTAACCCTTAGCTACAGACCACTTGTCTCAGAGGTGAATAATCCGACAATGAATAACTTTGTAACACAATTAATAACCAACAGAATGTTGATAATCATTTCGGAAATAGGGAGCCACTTACTGTCAATCGAGGGTATTCAAACGCCTAAGATTTCCAAATTTCTCCACTAGATCAGTGATAGTGGAAGAAAAATTTAAATTCGTCTCCAAAACGAATGGTTTGAAGACAAGGGTTCATATCTTTAGTGTAGTTAAAATGGACATGTCATATTGTTGGTCGATATCCAGAACGTAATAATCTAGTCTCAATTATGATTCCAATAGTGCCACTGAATTATTTGTTGATTCAGTATTTTCGAGTTTTACAATTTTTTTCAGGCTTTCAGTTGCAAATCGTTCGATCTTCTGTTTCAGGATCCTTCGAGGGGGACCGATCAATTCGGTGTGGCACTGGTTGGCCACTCCTTAGGAGCGGGCACAGCAGCTATCCTAGCGATATTGCTAAAACAGGACTATCCAGATCTAGTGTGCTTTTCGTTCGCTCCACCGGGTGGTCTATTGAGCATGCCCGCTCAGCAATACTCACAAGAATTTATTACATCCGTGGTGCTCGGGAAGGATGTCGTGCCCAGGATAGGCCTTCGGCAATTGGAAAGTTTGAGGGCCGATCTTATCAACGCCATAAAAAGGAGCGTCGATCCCAAGGTACTGTAATTCCTGATACGAGAAAAATAGAACGCGACGGAATATCTACGAATTTTTCTATTTGGAAACGATACTAAATATCGATTCGATGGATGCTAGTATCTATTTTAATATCCGTTTTACATTAAGTAAATATTTACAATACACGTCACGATTTGACTATGCAACAGAAGAAGTTTCTACGAAATAGAAGAAGTTTAAAGACTGTTAAAACAAAAGATTAATTATTTCCATAGTTGTACCAAATGAAAGCAGTCCCGCGAAAATCACATTATTGAATTTTCGTTCGCATTAAATACGACATTATATCATTCTATAATTCGCACTAAATTGAATATCGCACTATTTAGACTCGCATTAATCGAGACCTATTTGTATAATATCTAATTCGCTTGGCGTGCACGCTACTTGCAATTGTGTCTCGGCTCAGGCAGACATGTTATCAACGTGCGTTACGAAAATTAACACGTTTCCTTTGTTTTACAAAGCTAGCATATTTCAATTTATCCCGAAAAGAAGCATGTTTCACCACGATAACGTGCACGTTTCGCAGTTCCCCACGAACAATAGCGTCTATCGAACACTGCAGCGAGAAGTAACAAGTTTCGTGTGTTTTACAAAGACTAGCACAATTCAATTTACGAACAGTTGACATAAATTAAACGCTAGGCAACCAATCTAATCTACGAAGGCTAGCACAGTTCAGTTTACAAACAATTGAAGTAGATGCTAAGCAACCTATGAAACATGTTGTTTTTCGCGGTGGAGTACCGCAACATGCTAGTTTTCGTAGCGAAAAAGCACAACATACTATTCTTCGTCGCTATAAATGAAATCATGCTACTTTCGGAGACCAAAATCGAAACGTGTTGCTTTTCGTGGTCACGAAATCGAAAGCTCTAGTCTTCGTAGGATAAATGAAACGTGCTACTTTTCGTGACGCACGTCATTAGAATCAGTCATTTATTCATCTACATGGTTTAACAACGAAGATACTGAAATGTCCTGGGCTACTTGCTTTTCCCCCATACACAAACCAACGTTGTCTCGTCGGCCAGAACAATTGAGTACAAGCTCGCGTATCAATCGCGACATTCGTTTCAGTGGAAAACGATAGCGTGCTCGGTGATGTGTTGCGGTTGCGGTTCCACCCCCACATCGGCCGCAAATTTAGAGGCTGGTGGATGCATCAGCGAGTACCAGAGGGACAAAGACCTAGCGCGTTCGCAGACCGTCGTGCCGAGCGACTCCAGTATCGCGTTGACGTTGCACAGGCCCCTCTACCCGCCCGGTCGTATTATACACGTTGTCCGGCATCATCCGAACAAGGGAGAGTAAGTGAAAGAAAAACAAACAAACCGTATTTGCCCGTTTTGGATTTGTCCATGTGTTGGATCTTATGAAACCGGGTTCGTAAACGACTCACGACGCGGTTCACGAGTCGCGACAGTTATATCTCTAGGTGAGAGCCGATCAACGGCAAGACTTTTAATCGACGATCTTTTCCGTTTCTAGGCAGAAGTATGAGAGCCGCTGGAGGTACGTTTATCGAAAAGTTTCCATTTTCAGGGCTGCTCTGAGTAATTGCATTCCTCTTGAGGGCTTCTCCTGCCCTCCCCCCGCATGCCTAATTTGGCTCTATATTTTCTACACTTGTTTTTCCTGTCGCGTAATAACGCAGCACACACGTCTTTCACGTTTCTGGGAGGTTGATCCTCTCGCGAACGAAGTGTATTTTCGTTTCGTTCGGTTGGTCACGAATGTATTTGCGGAATCGGAATGTACGTACACACATTACTCACTTGCCTTTTAACCCTTCAGTTCCCACAGGTACCTACAGGTGCTGTCTGTCGGAAGCTTACAAGATGTAATGCCCCCTAGTGAGCAATTGACTATCTATTTCAACGATTTAGGTCAGGAAACAGCTGATAGGGGCGCTGATTTGATCTATTTTTCAGAGTATAAACTCTTGGGACCCTTTGTTTTTGTATCAATCGAGATAGAAATGAATAAAATTGTCCGTACTGGATCACAGTTTAAACCATGGGAATTGGAGGGTTAAGATAGACTTTAAATGGTATTGGTCGGACATACGTTTGTGACTAACTGAACGTGCATGAACGATCCTAGAAATACCTACATCTTGTACAACGTGATACGTAGACTTCACAGTTTTTACTAAATATTAATTATCTCTTCTACCTTTTCTACGTTTTCTTCTTTGTAAAAAAAACTACTACATCTATATAGTCTGTTCAGGTGCTCGAAATATATAAACCACCCAATATACGTACACTTGGTGACAACATACAGCGAACTCGTAAAAGTAGCCCCTCCCAAGAAGCGTCCCATTCATCAAGCGAAACCCAACCAGGCTAAACACTGGACCTTAGTAGTGTCCAAGCCTGTAAACGGAAAAAAATATATTCTACTTTCAGATTCAGCACAATAATTTCGCAACGACACTAACTGAGAGTAAATCAGAGTAGAGACGGTTCTGAAGAAGCATCGAAGCCTATCCACTTAAAATTTTTCGAAACGCTTCTCTGGTCCTTGCGTTTACCCGTGACAATTCTTACAAGCTCGCTGTATCACCGGGCGTGTGCACATCATAGAAAATCGAATTTCGAAACTCTACCCTTGGATCTGCGAATGCATCCGATTGCATGCCTCCCAATCGTAGCGAAATAGATTTCCTCGTAGAAGACCCGCGGCGGCGGTCGACCCGATACACGCGATATCACGGGCGAGTTGTCGGTGCCGCGACGCTGTACAGGGTGTTTGAAAATTATGTCAAGGCTATTATAACGTTATTCGACACACCTCTGGATCAGCAAAGATCTGCAAAAGAAAGTCACTGTACAGTTGACTTTGACCTTGAAATTCAAGGTCAAAGTTGTTTTTATTATTGCAGCGTATTCTACTCGTCACGAGGATATAAAATTTGACAGGAACCATGGGTTGTAATTCATCCGTTGTCTTGGAAAATGGTGTTAAAATTAACATTCGGACTCACTTTATTTGCAATGTGCTTACATTTTTCAGTCAGATACAGAGTAAATAGCATTTATAATCGCGCGTAGATACCCCAGATACAACATTATGTATCCAATACCTTCCTTTCTTTCTTTCCTGCTATAAAATGTTCACAGTTCGTTGTTCTACATACATGTATGTATGGATCAGCGTACCAACGACGCATACGTCAGTTGTCCCATATAGTAAAGTCGTCTTAACTGCGTACAGAGGCTCCCAGTTGACTGTGCGCATAGGCATTTGCGCGTAGGTATGGCGACTGTAATGTATATGGGACAATTGGACGTGTGCGTCGTGAGTACACTGACCCATAGATGTACATGCTACAACGAACTGTGAACGTTTTATAGCAAGAAAGAAAGTAAGGAAGATATACGATATATATAATGGTGCATTTCAGGTACCTACGTGCGACAATAAATGCTATTTACCCTTCATCTGACTAAAAAATGTAAGCACATTGCAAACGAAGAGAGTCCAAATGCTAATTCAACTTCAACATCATTTTCCAGGAGAACGGTTGAGTTGCGACCCATGGTTCCTTACAAATTTTCTGTCCTCGTCGCGTATAAATACAATGCAACGAAAAAAAAATTGACCTTGAATTTCAAAGTCAAGGTCAATTTTCCAGTGACTTCCTTTTGCAAATCTCCACCGATCCAGAGGAGTAGAATAACGCTATGTTAGCCGCGACATGTAGTTTTCAAACACCCTGTACAACGGGCCCCGTTCTTTCTGTTCGATTGCAGACAGATGCTGAACAAACGGGAGCCAGTGTATCAGGCGTTGTGGGCCGGCCCATGCGATTTCGACGAGGTGCTCATCAGTCCGGTGATGATACAGGACCACATGCCGGACAACATGCTGAAAGCGTTGAACAAGGTAAGCCACCGGGCCGCGGACACGATACACGTCGGACAGACAAACAGGCCACCCCAGACACCGGTCAGCCGGATGTCTTCGGTAAGACCGGGTAATTACGAACTTTTGGAAGAGACGCAGGACGAGCTGTTGGTCCGGATGAACGACGGGGACAAGCCGAAGAACCGTGAGCATCGGGTTCAGGGTGGTAACGGGCTGCTAGCGACAACAGATCGCGAGCGTGCTAGTACGCAAGTTCAGATCGCCACGATCAATGTCACGGGAACGAACGACGAGACCATTGTCGTCGATGTCGAGGTACACGAGCGAAGGGACACGCAATCTGGACCACTTTGACACACGTCTGAGCCTGACTGTTGATATTTAGAGTTTGTTTGATAGGGAAACGAGGAGGAACGGGTTTCTTTCGTGATGATGCTTCCCCATCCCACTCCCCACCCCCTTTGCTGGCAGACTGCGGATGTTTATGCGCTTACGTCCGTGTACGTAACTATTAGCGCAGTGGTGAGTTTGAATCGAGAGAGCTGTAAATTGGATTTCATTCTTTATGACAAGCATTTTGGAAGTTGAATTAGAATTAGAGGTTTTTGGAAGGTATTTCATGATTTTTATTATGATTTGTAGTCCACGTAAGTTCCTTGTGAAGGAATACAATGCGAATTGGGTAATTATTCGGACTAGGGGGGTCCTCATCGATTACAATGACCTTGAAATTTACTGTCGAGGTCGTCATTCTGAACGACATTTCCGTATACATGTTACCACCACTCGGGTTTAGTTTTCGAGATATTCGCAAAAATATATTCGATACTGTATATTGTATTTTGCTGTTTACAACATGTACAGGGTGAATCAATAGAAACTACCATTTAAAATAACTCGTTACCAATTGGTTATATCAAAACATTTTAATTAGTAAAGGATGAAAGTGCCTACAAAATTATTTTTTCCTTTAGTAGTAGAGAATGCAAATGGCGAAAAATAACAAATACCTTTTTTTTTGTTAATTTTGGCCTGTTTTCATATTTACAGAGAGAAACCACCCCTCAAAGTGCATGAGTGGAGGTACAAAAGTTCCTCTTATTAGTTTAAAGGATATTCTAACATTATATTGAATAAAACTTGATATAAATTTAATTTACATTATAACACCTCAAGATTAATAAACATGTCTATTGTATATACTAAAAATACACTTCTGGCACTTACATCACTTATTATTGCGACATCTCAATTACATATTTGGGGAAGATTTGAGGAGCATATTTCTTTTTCATGATGGCGGAGAGACATTCGTCCCGACAACGTTCTCACTTGGAAATCCGTAATATCTCGATTGTTTATAATTTTTCGACTTGATTTTTTGCGACCATTAAATTAAACATACATATGAAAGCAATTTGTCATATGGAGTGAATAACTCCATACATTCGAAGCCATGTGTTAAAAAAAAACAAATACAGGAAACAGCTGTCAAAATTCATCTCTCCCTGTGCACACTATTCCATAAAATTTATATTTGCATAAACATCCGCTGTCTGCTGGATATTGACTCTTTTGAATGAATTTTTGTGACTGAAAAAAGGACTGCGGCTGCTAGACATTAGGGTCGAATCAACTTTTATTAATTTATTGCGTAACGTTTTTGTACAGGGTTATTTATTGTACCAGTTGGAAATCACAGTCGAAATGGTTGTAGTCGTAGTTTTTCGTTGAATAGAGTAGTCTTGTTTTTGTTATCGTTATTAATATTACTTTTATCGAACCCGACAGAAAGTAGTTACACTAGAGATTGTGTATCTTATACTTAGTTAGTTATTTATATTTTTATTTTAGTATATAACACTGTAATAACACTATACTAATCTTGTGTACGATGAATTTGTTTAAAGATTCTGTAACGAAGATCGTATTCGTTGTTATTTGAAATTGTTGCTCGAATTAGGTCGAGCAATCAACACGCATGCTTCTCGACACTGCATGAATTTTAACGTTCGCAGACATGTTGTAATTATGTACGCAACATCTTCACGTGATTCTCTACAACGTTTTTTTTTTTAATTCAATCGTTTCTGAATCTTTCAGGAAGTATTCTTTTTTTTTTTTAGTTTTGTTTTAACTGACTGCATCCAAAACGACTAAAACAACATGGCTATGTATATGTAATTTATACACGGAAATTTTTAATATCGAAGAAACTATAATCGAGCGGTTTTTATTGTCAACAAATAATTTTTAATAATCAACAATTTAATTTTTGCTAATCACTGTGGTACATCGTTACGAAATGTTCAACGCGAATTATTGTAAAGTAATACAACATTATATTTCGTACCTGTAATTAAACTAGTGGTCGTTTTGATTGCACATTGTAACTGTTATACTTGATTCTGTATAATTTGCGATGTACGCTACCTTCGATCAATATACTTTGTACCATGATGAACGTTGTTGTTTATTTCGTCGGTTACGCTTCCTAATTCTGTGCTTGACGCATTTGTGAATAAGCGTTAGAAAAGAAATTACAAATAGCGTAAATTGCGTTTAATTTATATTATTTGTCACTGCTCTTATTTGTCTTGTTACGCAGGATGTTTCAGAGTTCAAGCGATCAAACGTTATCGATACGTTCCACAAGCAAATTTAAGGAATAAAAAGTGTTACATAAACGTAGGTTTAAAAACATTTTGTTAAAAGAATTATGAGGAGAATATTAATCATCGATACAATAATGGTAATACTAGACGCATAGAATGGAATTTTTAGATCGATTCAAATTAAATCAACCGCTCCTAATGATTTTAACCCTTTAACTCTTGAGAGGACAGGTTCACTTTCGTGTTCAATTAAATCTTGAATTAATTCTTCATTTTTTTACTTATAAACTTTAACTATCGAAAGATTTAATGATATAAACTACATCGTATTCGCGTTTATTACAGAATAAAATGCATGAAACCTATTTTTATTAATCCTTAACCGTCCCTACACAGAAATTTATGATCGAGAACTTAACTCGATTGACAAATTACATAATAAACCCAATTACAATGAACACACTGTCGTACCATTATCAATCTATAGGTAATATTATTTGTCATTGCTTTCCGTTTAATATTTTGCGTCGCAACTTTGTCAAAGTGTTTCTGGATCGAATGTATTTGGTAACATTTCTATTGATAGAACGCACTATCGATCGTTTAACTTTGATACACCCTGCATACCAGGCACGTCCAATTGGGGATTTTCGAGAAAAAGAACGTTCTTTGTTTCTCATTTGTATCGCCAAAAGCAAAGGCGAAGAAAAGAACAAAGAAACATGATATGCTTTTGATCGGCTCTCATTCTTTCCTCGCAGAAAACAACTCGAACAAATTGGACATGCTTGTGTATACGGTACTCCCTCCCTATAATTGCATTTTGTCATTGTATAATCGTTTCAACGTACCCGCCATATCACGAGGCTAATTGATAGTGGCTGAGCCTTGCTCTGTCGATCTTGCAGACATCCAGGAAAAAGGATAACAATGGACGAGAGATTAATTGTATACGCTGCTCTCTATAATCGTAAGATTGGTTTCAAGTAGTGCGTCTATAGAGAGGGAATACTGTAGTTAACACGTGCACAAAAGGTAGGACACAACGATTTCTGGCTTTTATTTGTACCTACTATTATTTGTTCGTTTCACTATAATTGATTTTGGCTTTATACTTATAAGTTTTCTTTATTTTCAAACACTTTTTTTTCTAGATCACGTTAAGATTTCGACGGCGAATGCAAGTCAGTGAAAATGGCTGTTCGCGTGTGCTTCTGCTTTGCATGAGAGTGAACTATTGAAATTGATTACGCTCTTAACCCTTTCGCTACGGCGGAAGTTCATGCGCCACCACTGAACGGGACTCGAAGCTCTGAGATTGCATTTGTATATGGTAAATTTCAATGTATTTAATAGATTTAATAGATTTCGAGGAAATACGCTCGTGTATTTAAAATTATTGGTACATTTTCAAACGAACACATTCCACATCAATGACTGAATCTAGAAAAGAGCGTTTCGCGGCGAGCGTATACACAGTGTCTCAGGTCAGATAATACAAACTTATTATACGTGCAAGAATAAAACGAAAATATAGAATACAATTTTTTGCTGTGATGCTTTGTGTCCGAGATAATCGAATTTAAAATCTGCTGGTTACGCGGGAAATTGAATTGGACTTGGCTACCGCGTCTGTTCATTACATTCCGTTTCTACTTACACGCGTACACTTGATGAAAGGGTATATTGTAGGTGAAAATATTCTTGAACAAATAGAATTCGTTGTCATTCAGTTAGAAATTAAAAAAATATATAATGAATGTAATGAAAAAAAACTTAATACTTTGTACGGGGCTCCAACCATGTTCCAAAGAATTTGCCAGCGATTGCGCGGCTGGATCGCTTAGTCGTTATAATAACGACGCTTTTGGAAGTTCGGTAAATATTTCAGTATATAATGGATACAGCACGGTGTTAATCAAATTAATTCGAGTTCTATAATTTATATACTGTTTTATTGGATATGGAAATATTCAAAATCGTATAATAGACTTCTTAATAAAAGAAATATAAAAATTTTAAGTGTAGGTTACTTTTTCATAGAATAACCGTCGAAAAAATCGGTTTTTAATTTTTAAAACTACGCCGCACCCGACCAAAAAATCTCCAAAATATTGAAGACACTACTTATGATAATATATCACTACTGTCTAAGGATAAACATGGTGCCTTTAAAACTTCAATAAGAGAAAAACCTTTTTCAGTTTTTTTAGCGTGCTAAATTTTTCGTAACTAGAATATTGAACTAAATAATCACAAAAAATTCTCTAACGCGTGCCCAGATAAATACTATCTATCAAATTTTAACAGAATATTTGTATGTCATTAAACAAGAAAAATAGAAGAAAATCTGGTAATCTAAATTTTCTTTATTACTACCCTCCAGATTGAGGTAGAGGGTTG